GGAACCAACTACCAGTTTTAGTCCGTGAGGCAGACACCCTGTCTGCTTTTAAGGCTAGGCTTAAAACTTTCCTTTAGAGATATTACCAGTTCCCACGGTCCCTGAATGCCACAGCTGGAGGTTGTTTTCAGGCGTTCGTCATGAAGCCCCTGAAGTTTAACCTGAAGATGAAAATTGTTTCTTCTCTTTGCTATAAACTGTTATTTTTTTTTTTTACTTTTTTGTTATAATTGTTTTTTTTTAAATCCATTTTTTCAGGTTTAAATTTTTTTATTTTTTATTTATTTATTTATTTTTTATACTTGTTAAATCAAAATCTTTTTTGGCATCAAGATAAATATTCTTATTGCCACATTTCCAGACAGGACACTGTTAAAAAAATAAAATAAAAATAATAAAATCCTAATAATAAATAAAAAAATAGAATAAAGTTTAATTTCTCTCTCCATACATGAAGCGCGTTTAAAGGCGGAGCCTGCGTACGTACGGGTACATGGCCATAGTGGTCAGTTTGGTGTAGATTTCTCGGTCTGGTGCTGCTGCCGTGTTACAGGTGAAGCTCTGCGGAGGCGGCATCTTGTGCTTCCTGCAGAACTCCAGAGGGCTGCAGCCGTACGTCTGTTTGACCTCCGGCAGGTCGGATTTGGCTGCGACCATCATGCACGGCGTCTTGCTGTCCATGAAGTATTGCTGCCAGGAGAGAAGCGTTAAAACCGACCCTGCTTGGCTGGAATATTTAAAGCCCAGATGTCCACCTTAAAGACTTTGGCGCAGTACTCCAAGGAGCAGGCGTTGCTGACGTCGTACAGCAGGCAGACGACGTCACAGCCCATATCCGCATCAGTCAGGTAATCCAAGTCTGGGAAAACCTCATGAAGCTGGAGGGGAAGGGGTTAATCACTGATAAAGCAGAAAATAAAAAGGCCCCAATGAGGACATCAGACACAATCTGCTGTTTTTTTATGAGGTTAAAAGTAACAGAGCGACTGTGTTGGCTGCTGCAGCGTCTTCCTGTCCGTCTGTGTGACCTGACTAACTAAACCAGAGTTAGACTTGGATTAAGACAGTCAGCTGCACGGATTAAATCCTCACAGAGCTTCATGTTGCTTTGCTGTTTGCAGCCTGGAAAATGACTTGAAAGCATCAAAGAGAACGAAATCCTGAGAAGAAGGGATGGATTAGATTAGATTATATCAGATTAGATCAGATTCAATCAGATTGGATTAGATCAGATTC